TATGTATAAAAAATACTTAAAAGAAGCTTTATCTATATTTATATATGTGTATACATGTATGTTCGTGTGTGTGTGTATATACATATACACACACCCACATTTAGCCAGTGGTAATTCCAATTTTAAGTCCTAATACTGGTTTGTACAGACGGCTGCAAGACTCACAGGCAGCACGAGACCCTTTGCACAGTTGTTTCATTCCCTTGCTCATTTTGTCACCTGGTAAATGACATCTGGCAGATGCGGTTTGGGCGAGTGTCAGCAAAGAACAGGGGATTGCCCTTTGGCTTTCCAGCAAGACTAGCCTCCTGGCTGAAGGTCCATTGTGTTTCTTCTTGTCATACACTGAATGGCATCCTTGTTGAAGGCACAGAAGATGATCGGGGGGTAGTCAAGGAAACAAAGACCCTGCCTTCCCTCATACAAGATAAATGCTTACCAGATTTATTTATTCTTTAATTACTTCAGTGCTCACATGGCTGAAGGAATCCAAAACAATATCGGAGCCACACGCCGCTTACTGTCCCATCCCCTATTCCTTGAAGTAGCTGCGGGCACCTCTTATGTTGGGGTTTCTGTCCCTCGTCCTCCAGGCTTGAGCAGGGCTGGTGGGGGGAGCAGCATGGTGGGGGGCATTGCCTGCAAGCCCCTCACTTCCTGCTGGAAGACCTGCTAGAGCGAGTCCAGAGGAGGGCCATGAAAATGGTCAGAGGGCCAGAAGACCTCTCCCATGAAGAAAGGCTGAGAGTTGGGGATGTTCAGCCTGGAGAAGAGAAGGCTCCAGGAAGACCTTATTGTGGCCTTTCAATATATACAGGGGGCTTATAAGAAAGACTTTTTACCAGGGCCTGTAGTAACAGGACAAGGGGCAACAGTTTTAAACTGAAAGAGGGCAGGTTTATATTGGACGTAAGGAAGACATTTCTTACAATGAGGGTGGTGAGGCACTGGAACAGGTTGCCCAGAGAGGTTGTGGAGGTCCCATCCCTGGAAGGGTTTAAGGCCGGGTTGGATGAGGCTTTGGGCAACATGGTCTAGTGGAGGGTGTCCCTGCCCATGGCAGGGCAGGGTTGGAACTAGATGATCTTTAAGGTCCCTTCTAACCCAAACCACTCTGTGAGTCAGTGACAATGGTAGATGCTGTAGACATATGAAAACTGTGAATTTGGGCATAAATGATAAAGACCTTGAAATGGGACAGACCTTGAAAGAGGAGAGGGAAGCACAGGCATCCTGACCTGCTTCTGCAGATTTGGCATCGTAGTGGGGTCTGACGGTGTGGCAACACATGTACCCCTCTTGCCTCTTACAGGAAGTGAGCTACTGCCAAGGGATGAGCCAGATTGCAGCCATCCTCCTGATGTACTTAAACGAAGAGGATGCATTTTGGGCACTGGCACAGCTGCTGACCAACCAGCGGCACGCCATGCACGGTAAAGACTGGGGCGGGATGTGGACGGAGGCTCTTGCAAGGGGAGGGAAGGCTGTTTAGGTTGGTCAGTAGAGCCTCGTTTCTCCTCACATATACTTGTTTAAAGCAGGTATGGCTTAATTACGTGCTGAGACAACCCAACTACGGAGCTGAACTTCACTCTTGGAGGCAAAGTTCATCAGAGAAAAATGTGGTTTATCAGCACTGAGCTTTAGTGATCAGTAATTAACACTTCCACAGAGGTGCTATCTTCCCTCCTGAGTGCCTTGCCCTTGGCAATCAATTAACTCAAGGTCACCAGTTTTTAAGAAGTCTTACAGAAGTACATCCAAGAGCATCATGTAATGCTCCATTTTTAGCATGCCATGAGCTACGTGCCCTTGTGTTTTTATGAAGATGTAATTCCACCAAATGTGCTGTATTATTTTACTTTAAACACATTAAAGATCCTTTCATCTTACTTGTGGTTAGCAGTAATCTATACACAGAGGTTATTTTATGAGTGGAGGGCTAAGCCTTATGGCTTGATAACTTCAGACCATCTTAAACGGATGTCCTGCTAGATTACGCGGTGCTGCACAAGCTTGTGGTGTTCAAACATCTTCAGCTTTTCTCTGAACCTTGGTAAGCACCAAGAGGTGTTCAGAGAGGTCTTGGCCAAGCCAAGTCCCAGGCGGGCAGGCAGTGGGGAGGTGAGTGGGTCTGCTCTGCAGGGCCAGAGTGAGAAGGACCAGCTGGTGTTGGTGCTGAGGGTGCTGTTGCCCATGAGGGTGGGCTCTGGGAGGAATGCCAGGGGAGGTAGCTGGGTGCACTGTGGTCCAGCCAACTTCAACAGGCAATGCAGGGGATGAGTTTCTAGAAAATCTGGCAGCCCCCATGACTGCTCCAGAGCTTTTCTGATTATGATTTATTTCTCTCTTCTTTTCTTGTTAAGGTTTTTTCATTCCTGGATTCCCGAAGCTGCAGAGATTTCAAGCTCACCACGAGCAGATTTTAAGCAAACTGTTTCCCAAACTGAAGAAGCACATGGTATCACTTTGCTATCAGTCTTCCCATACTAATACCGTGTTTTAATGCTACAGCAATTAGTGTAATGTTCTGCCAAACTGATGGACAACTGAATATCTTTCTAACCGTGTAGGACCACTTCAGCCACAAAGAGGCAAGCATTTATTAAATGGGATGCCTGAATCTTGCTGAGGCGAATGGTTATCATTTGCTTGCTGGTCATCATTAGTGTAGAGACTGCTAAAATCTGAAGGCTTCCTTAGGAAAGCCAGGCGGGAAGGCTCACAGAGCCTGCAGCAAAAGGAGCTGTTGCATACAGCAGTGAGGCTGGGCTGTGTTCTTGCACCAGCTGCAAAGCCCGAAGGGTAATGCTGGATTGTGTGGAGTCTTAATTCAATAATTATTAGCCCCAAGTGCTTGCATTTAATGGCTTTGTTGTTATTTGAAGACAAATGTAAGATTTGCTGTGTGTTTTGTTGCTTGGGCATGTCCAGTTGTTTTTCTCTCTAGCAGATGGTACAAGGCCATTTGGTGGCTGGAGAAGCATCTGCAGGACACATCGATTGCAGTCTAATGTTTAGGCGACTGTTTTGCAGCATCTGCTCCCTTTTGCTGTAGACAGTTGGGATTCAGTGGCCAGACTCCTGAAGGTTTCTTATGCTCCCAAGGGACTCAGTGGCCCAGCTCCAGGAAAAGCTGTTTATATTGCCATCATCTTGCTTCCTGCTGCAAATGAGCCAGCCCTGGCTGTATAAGTGAAACAGAGCCAGGACAGGTTTTCACTTAGTTATAGCCATAATGGTAGGGAAACCTGCGTGGGGAGGACAGGAATAACTGCCTGAAAGCTGCTCCTGCCTCCTGGCTCCCAAAGACTCCCCAGGCTTGCAGGTGCCCAGCACCAGCCAAAAGCAAAGATCAGAGCTGACCGTTAATCCCATGGGCTTCTTTCTCTTCCCATCCCCGCCACCTTGCTGGCCTTGCAGCAGTGGTCTTGTCAACTTTGTGCACGTGCAGGGCGCTGTGCATCCCAGCACCAGCCGTGCCACACCATCAGCTGTGGCAGAAAAAGCAAAGCTGTGTGCAAGTGCTGTGCCGGGTGCCAGACAGAGACGGAAAAGTGATAGACCACGGTGATGTTGGTGAGATTTTTAAGAGTTTTCCTTAGCCTGTCAGGCCATCCTACTGCAGCAGCCATGCCATGCAAATGAAGTAGTGCTAGCAAAGCTGGCTCAACTGTGCAGGTCTGCATTTACCTGTGGGATACTTGGGGTTAATCATTTAAGTGGTCCTCTGAGAGGCTTGCATGGGAATTGCTATGGAAACAAAAATGGTAGTCTGCAAGGAGTGCATGGTTTGGGTTCCTGGAAGGTTTTTTGTAAATCGCTGGAGTAGATATTAGGCCAGAAAAGCTTCTCCTAGAAATCCCTCTCCAAAGTTGTGGCTGAAGTCTGGCCATGTTGAGGGTCAGGTTCAATGAGTATCTTGGGCAAAGGGCCAAAGTAGGGCTTCAAAATTGCTATTTAAAGTAAGGCCTTTGTTGGAGACAAACTGCAGCCAGATCCTGCACACAGACCCCAGCATTAATAAAGCAAGCAAGCAACCAATCAACCAACCTCCCCAAAAGCCTGATGAGTTGCTTGAACCTCCAGCAGCCAGCCTGGTGAAACACCTGTGTCTCTTTGCTGTCTCCTCCTAGGACAAGGAGCAGATGACTACAGGGATTTACACGACCAAGTGGTTCCTGCAGTGTTTCATTGACCGGGTGAGGATGCTCTGTGGGTTGTTTGCTGCTCTGCTGCTTGCATGCATGGTTAATCCGCCTGTTTTTTTTAAAAAAAGTATCATAATTTGAAGAAGGTGTTAATATTTTATAAGGTGGGATATTATGCACACTCTCATACGGCAAAAAAGTTAATAAGGGAGAAGCTAAAAATAACTGCATGTCACTGATGACAAGTCAATTCCTACTGCCTCATCACAAGCAGTCGCTGGGAGATGGCTCAGCAGCAGCAATGTAAACTTCAAAGTCGGGAGAGATCTTCCTCTTGCCTCACTTTGGCTCTGGAAACAGCGTAGGGAGAAGAAGAGCTGGGGGCACAAACTGAAAAAATAGCAGTGCAGCAGCTGCAGGCAAAGGAGTGGGCTGGGCGCTGCAGACACATGAAAGTGTGAGAAAATTACCCTGATTTGTACAGAGCTAATTTGCCAGTCCCTAGCCAAGACTACTTTAGGGGCAGTGTTGCGCTTGCACACTTGAACACAAGATCCAGACTTGCTAATGTGTAGGACATCTGTGTGTCCTCAGTCTCAATTTTCTGCTGCCCTGTTTCCTACAAAACAGTGGATGATCTCTTCCCCTTGAGAGGGAACTCACTGCTTTGCAGTCTGTCACTAAAAGCTGTATAAAATGCAAAATGCCTTTAACTGCAGTAACATGTTTAAAGGAGCTGCAATGGCCAGTCATGCCAAACTCTAGAGTAAGCACAGCATCCTAAATTTGGATTTAAATGTCACAGTAGGACTAGTATTAATTTCTGTGTTGGTGAGATGCCTTAAATCTTTGCTGGGAGCTGATGGGCTGCTCTGTCATTTTGGATATGAGTTCACTCCTGTTTTTCAGATTGGGTCCAGATGCACATGAATACCTCTTGCAGAAGTCTTTCTAGCAGGCAGAAATAAGCCTGTGTATAAGAAAGACCACTTCTCTAGACACCAAAGGAGTGATTTTTTAATGCTTAGTGAAGCACTGTTGGGCCTTCAGACCTATCCCATAAATAGCCCTTCATCTGTTTGGGCAGTTTGGATGGATACCAGAGTGGCTTTGTGTGCTTGCAAGGCTGAAAGATCTCTCCATGGGTAGTGGAATCTCTGTGCTAGTATGTCTGTGCAGAGCTTCTCCTTTTTTTGCATTTGCGGCCGGGTTTTAAGTACTTTCCCTGCTACCCAAGGGTGTTAGCTTTAAGGCAAAACTATAGACAATAAAATACGTTTTTGTGTTATAGATGAATCTTGGACATTCAATGCCTCACCCTGTTGTGTGTTTTTGGTGCGAGGGGACATAGTGATGCCACCAGCCTCTGTATCATCATCCCATCAATCAGTGCTAATGAGTGTGGTGCTAACAAGCTGTTTTTTTGATTATGTGCTTGAAACAGACCCCCTTCACTCTCACCTTGCGGCTTTGGGATATCTACATCCTGGAAGGAGAGCGGGTGCTGACAGCCATGGCTTACACCATCCTCAAACTGCACAAAAGTAAGGTCCCAGTAGAGCGCATCTTGTATGGCAGAGGTGGCACCATGCTGGGCCACCCATGTTCTGCTGACCCAGAAAGTCTTGCTTCGCTGCCAGCCTGCTCATGCCCTGTGCTGACCCCAAAAGGCCGTGCCGGTGCTCCAGGGAGGAAATGAGATGCCACAAGTGTTGAAATCTTGTGCTCTGCGCACAGCAAACCCCACCAAAATGCTCCCATCTGCCTCTTTCTGCATGCTGTGCCCCACATCTTTTATCAACATGCTTTTAGGGGCAATACAGACAGCAACCCATCTGTCTGCAAAACTCTATGTGGCAGTTCAGCTGAAAAGGCTGTAGAGGGAGAAATAAATCCATTAATATACTGCTGAAATGACCAAAACCTGTTTTTAATTACATAACGTTACAGCAGTGATGTTTCTACCTCGAGATCTTAGGGACTTTGAACCCTTCCGCTCCTATAAGCTAGCAGCCTTGCTTTGTTACCGTGTTAGGTCTTTAATCTGGGACAGGAGTGATGCTGATAGTGCATGCTGGGAACCATTGGGCCAGTGGGATTTATGGCACTGCGTTTGTTGGCTCCTGCAAACAGCCACCCTGCTCTTTCTTCAGCTGAAATTCAGGCTATCCAGAAATACATCTTCAAGCATCCCATTTGTTTGCAAAGACTGGGAAACTGGCAGGCAGGTAGAAGTTTGAGCCTGAAATCATGTCTCCTCCTTGAGGAATGCGTGGCGCAGATCAGCATCCCTGCCTGCATCCTGTTCCTGCCGGCGTCCCATCCTTGTCTGCATCCCTGGTGTGGGGTAGCATCCCTGCCTGCTGGCTAGTGCAGGTTGGCGTCCCTGGCTGGTGGTGGCGGCTGCCAGCAGTGGCTGTTCACTCTGATGCTCAGGGTTTCTCATGGAGCTTTTCCTCCTCCTAGAGGTATAGTTGAGAACTTCCAGAAATGGCCCAAAACGTGCATCCTGGTCAGCAATAGGTCCCAGCCCAACCATCATCCTGCCAGTGCCTGAGCAACAGCAGGAAGGTGGGAGAGAGGCAAAGACGTTCAGGCTGTCCCACTCTTCTAGAGTGGGAACAGCAGCAGAATACCAGATAAAACCAAAGCAATGCAACCCACGCTGGTGCTACCCTGCAATTTGGCAGTGCCGCTGCCATTACTCCTTTCTGCCATCCCCCAGAGCGCTTGCTGAAGATGACGCTGGAAGATTTACGGGAATTTCTACAGGAGAAAATTGCTGCTTCACTGCAGTATGAGGATGATGCCGTCATTGAGCAACTGCAGGTGTCGATGAACGAACTACGCAAGATGAAATTTGACCTCCCCCCACCAGGTGGGTAGAGGGGAAGGCAGGCAGCCCAGTGGGAACGGCCAGTGATACCCATGTCCCCTGGGGACCAGAGCATCCCTCTGGTGCAGCTGGGAGCCAGGGCAGCCCAGAAGGGCTGGCAACCCGCTGGGTGTAGCATCTGCCTTCCCCATGGTCAGGGCATGCCAGATGCAAAAAAGAACTGATGCACAGTTTGGGTTTTATTTTGTTTTCTTTGCTTCCAATGCAGCAAAGCCTGAGGAGTTCCCACGGAAACCCCTGGGCCTGGAGCTCTCCCTCAACCCAGTAGCCAGGAAGGGCAATGTGGCGGCCAATGGCCAGAATGGCTGTGTGGGCGAGCACCCCCTGGACAAGGAGCCCCATCCCCACAGAAGTCCGGGGGAGCCGGGAGGAATGACAGCAATGGAGGTAAGGACTCCCATCCTCCAGGACAGTGAAGCAGCTGAAGCAACGGACATCCACCTGCATCTTCCTGGCAAGCAGCCACTGGGAGAGGAGAGTGGGGTGGACCCCACTGGGGACGGGCAGCTGCCATCTCTTCTGAAAGCAAGCGAGACACAGGCCCATCATCACCTCCTGCCCACAGCCCTGCCTCCAGAGCAGCCTCTTCTCGCTCCTGGCCATGCCACGGTGGACCACGAGTCAGTCTGCCTTCCTGCCCCAGCCGAGCACAGCTCCTTGGACTCATCTCTCCAAAACACGCCGAGTCCTCCCAACTCGAGCACCGCTGAGCTTTCCACTATGGACCACACGGTATGGCAGCCAAATCCTGCTGCCCTGCTGGCAGGAGAACAAGCATCTTCCCTCTGCAAAGAGAAAGCACTCAATGCACCCCCTCATCCTCTGCTGGGTGGCTGGCAGCGGATCTCCAGCGCATCGCAGCATGACAACTCCCCAAAGAGCGAGCACGAGGAGGAGATGGCTGAGAAGCGCTGCAGAGCAGCGCTGCCGGAGAAAATGGACTTGAAGCGCTTGGCATCCAAAGCTGCATCCACAGGGGAGCTCGCCAGCCTGCAGGAGAACGGGCCAGGGAGCGCCACCGGCACCATGCACTGGCCAGGGGGTTTGGGCATGCTGCCCACGCACGGGCTGGCAGGCGGCAGTGTGCCCATCTTGTCTGGTGGTGAGTCAGAGGCAGCGGGGCTGGGCAAGGGCTGCCCCTTCCAGGAGGCACCATCCCCTGCAGTGGAGGGGAACAGCCCCTACATCGTTGTCAAAACCACCACTCCCCTCCACCTGGCCCATGCAACAGAGCAGGACTTCTCGAACAGAAAGCAGGTGGCATTGCCTCTGCTGGAGACTGGACATCCCCTGCCTGCCGCCTCCATGCCACCACCTCTTGAGCTGGACCCAGAGGAGGTAGATGCACAAAAAAGCCTCCAGAAACCATTAAACGCACTGAAAGCCCCACGACCCTCCCTGAGCCCCAAACCAAAATTACCGCTGCAGGTTGCCAAATCCCGCTCGGAGAACAGTTTCCTTTCAGGCTCTCCTCCCTTGGCAAAGCTGCCCAAATCAATAACGTTTTAGTGGGGATGGGGGGAGATGAGGGAGAGGAAGCAGGTGCTGGAGCAGCACCCTCACCCTGTTTTTGGGACCCCCCTTCAGCAGGGCTGTGACAGGGTGACAAGCACAGCAGCCATTGCCTGCCAAGCTGTGCTTTGGTACGAGTGCCTGGCAAGGAGATGGAGCAGTGGCCACCAGTGCTAGGAGCCACCATCAAAATGGGTTTGTATCTTTCCTATGGACAAATTGGAAAGCGCTTTCATTTTTTGTTCCTTGAAGGTCCCCGAGCCTCATCGCCTGTGGGGAGAGAGGCAGGGCTGGTGAAGGTGTCACGTATTTTTTTCTGCTCCTTCCTGCCGTGGATCCCTATGGCTATGGAAGTGGGCACGAGGCATAGGAGTCTGAAATGCTTTCTTTAAAATGTCCAATCAGTGCAGCCAACAGCGTTGCTTTCAAAGGCCTTTGTAGCAATAGATCTTTACTTCTTTTCCAAGACCTGCAGTTGGAGGCAGCAGCATTTTCAGGCAGGGCCGTGGAGCCCTGGCAGGGTGCAGGAGCCCACTGCCTACTCTATGCATTTCCGCAGAGCTGTACCTGGCTGTACCCGGCTCCTGCCGTGGTGGTGGATAGCGTCCCAGAGGGGAGGTTCAACAGCTGGTGAGTCCTGGGGGGTCTCCTTGGTGTGACCCTGGTGGAGGACCGCCAGCAAGGTGGTTCTTTCTTAAGTTGTCAAGGTGACAAGGACAGCGATGAAGGCTGAGGCTAGTCTCTTGGGCTGAGTGGCCTTTCTGTTGGCCTTTCCCTCGCAGGTCCAGGGTAGCGAGCGGGCTCGCTGCCTTTCCATTGGCTGAACAGGAAAAGGGCTTCTGCCTTGGGAAACCTCCTGCCTTCACTAGCAAGCTGCTGGAGGTGTGGTGGTGTCTAGTCACGGTGCCCAAGCTGAAACCCACTTTCAGCAAGTTAAGTGTCAGGGTGGAAACAGCATAGGAGCTTGGGAAGGGAAGCACATTAGCCCACCCAGAAATCAACAACCAAGGAAGGAGGTTTGGAAGGTGATGCTGTAGAGCATCAATGTCACCACAGCCCGCTGCTGAGGTGGTAATGCGATGGGTGCCCACATGCCCTTCATGCACCAAGTCCTGGTGGCTGGTCCATCTCCTCCCCATCCCAGGGTGTCGCTGCTGCACAGCCCGAACTGTTGGCGGGAGGTGTGCAGGGACCCGGGGACAGCTCACCCCACTGAAAGACGTGGTCCAAACTCCTGTTTCTGTATCTACTTCACCCCTACATGTGAAGGGACTTCATCAGAAGGATCAATGGAAGCAGCAGGAAATAAACTAGTCCAGATGGCTGTATTTGCTGTCCAAAAGGGGTGGCTGCAGATGCTACCTTAGGTGAGACTGCAGGTGGGATTCCAATCCTTTCAATGGAGACCCTGGGCAAAAGCTCCTTTAAGTTCTAAGGAGACTGTGAAAACTGTGTTTTATCTCACAGGCTGCTTCAGTAACATAACCTGATCTGAAGCTTACCTGGAAGCCCAGCAGAAAACTGCCACTATATTACTTTGTGGGTGGGGTTTATCAGTTTTTTTTTTTCTTCTCTGCATGTGGTGGTTTGTGTTAGCAGCAAGGAGAGCATCAAAGCCAGCACTCCATCTTTGGATGTAGCCAGCCAGACCACAGCACCCTCAGCTTCTGTTGCAACCCCTGCTCTGAGACCCCCATCATCTGCTGAGTCTCCAACCCTGCCTGTCCTCTCTCCCTCTGCAAAGGAGGGACAACCCTATTAGCTACCTCGCAGGGGTGCTGTAGGAGTCAAGAGTTGCTCTTTGAGAAGTGCTGTATTAATGTTCAGTATTTGTGTTTTGAGGCACCACAAGTCCTTCCTAGGACAATGGCGCTTGAATTGGTTTTAAGTTAGAGTATGTTTTTCAGTAACTGCAGTAGTTAAATCTATTTGTGTGTTAAAATACCTGGGCAGTATTTCAGGACAGGTATCAACTGTCTTTCACTAGCAGCCCACTGGCCTCGAGCTTGCTGGGAAGCAGTGAGAAGCATCTGAGGGCTGGTGGTCACCTCAGCTTGGTTTCTGTAGCTTGGGGGGGGGATGGGGTCTGTCCTCTCCTTGAAGCACACATAGGACTCCTGCCAACATAGCTGAGCATTTGGGTCACGTGTGCAAGAGCTGAAACCTCTTTCCCCTCATTTTGACCTCCCCCCCCCCCATTGCAGGCACACAGCCTTTGCAGATTGTGTTGCATGTGCACTCGGGCTCCTCACACAGCATGTGTCTGGGGTGTTTTGCAGTATTCACATATAAAAAGGTGGTTTGCTCTAATTTTGGAGAGCTGTCAAATACACAGTACCCATTACATGGTGTTTGGTGCATGGTGTTCAACAAGAACTGAGGCTGGAGGGGGTTGTTCCTCCCCTCCAAGCCCTAACAGGAACACACAACAACGTCCTTGGTCACCTCCAAGCCTGGGGGAAGCCACCAGCTGGTTTCAGTGATCTTGGGACCAGACAGACACAGGCTCCCTGTTCCCACCAGTGTGCTTCTTGCTGGGAGGGGCTCTGAGCTCCTCACTGTGCCACCTAAGCAGCTCTTCTCCAACCTGCAGCCCCAGAAAACTGGCAGATTTGGGAAGATTTCCTGGGGGCAAAGTAGCCTGAACTGGCTGGGAGCCAGCGAGATGCATTGCTTTCCTTAGAGTGGTGCTCTTACTTCAGCACATCAAAGCATAATCTAGATGACCTCCCTCCCCTTCTCTGCCTTTTACTGCAGATGAAGGTGTAGCCATGGTGGGTCTGTGGCAGCAGGGGTGGGCAGGACATGGCCCAGCCTCGGCCCTTTTGCTGGGGATAGGAAGGGAAGGAGAATGACGAGGGTGGCAGCTCAGCTTGACAAATAACTGGCCCAAGACAATCGCACCCCTGCCACAGCTTCCTGCAATGGCCCCAGCCCCTTGGCAAAAGCCACTCTTGCCACAAGCAAACTCAGGAAAGCAGCTCCCCACCCCCACCCCACCCCTCCACCATCCTTGCCCTCACAGCCCCGGGATGGTTCTCGCCTTGCTGCCCTCCATGTAGTTTTAAAGATCAACGGTGCAGGTTTGGTTTTTTGGGGTTGGTTTGTTTGTAATTGAGGACTTTGAGTGGCTGTGGCACCGGTGGGCAGCAGGAGCCATGGGGACCGGCACTGGGGACCGGCTCCCGGGGGGGGGGGGTGCCGGCTCCAGTGTGGGATGGCAGTTGAGTTCAGGGTCTCTCAGCTGTGCGCTTTGAGAGCCCAGCTACCATCTGCTTTTCTTTTTAATTGCTATTCTTGTTTACAGCGTGGATCGCTTCCTCCGTGACTCTTTCTAATGTATTATAATTATTACTTTAAAAAAAAAAAACATTTTTATGTCTGTGCTTTTTTTGTTGTTTGTTTTCTTTGTAAAGAGTTATTGGGAAAAAAGTCTACCTTTTTTACACTAAGCCAAAAAGACTGTCCTGACTATTTGATGCTGTGTTTTACATGGTTGTAATGATAACAGTTCAAAAAGTTTAGCATAAAATCAGACTCCATGATGTTTCTTACAGCAACAGATGCTGCAGCAAGACCAGTTGTCTTCTCGTGCTGGCTTTTAGCTTGGTTCACCGGGTGTGCTTCAGCTGCGGTGGGTCCAACCCACTCCATCTCTGCCTTCCTCCCTACTTTTCTACTGTGGTTAAATCCAATCATCCCCTGCAGCAGTGGAAAGAAAACTGTTCATTTCTATGTACTGCCATCCTTTCCTGGCTTGCTGAGCCAAGGGCAGCATCCTGTCCCCAGCCCCTGCACATCCCTTCTGACAGGTGGCCAGTGGCCAGCAGCCCTGCTGCAGCTTTCTGTTTTGGCTGAGATTTCAGATTTGGAGTTTGTTTTCCTGCCCGCGGGCAGCATTGGAAGGGTTGGACCGGATGGGGAGCGGGTGGACACAGCTCCTTGCATGATGGGTGGGTGCAACTCACCGTGACGCTACATGAGTCAAGACTGAGTCATGCTTACACCAGTTGCTGGGAGTGTAAGGTGGTGCCACTCACAGCTGAACATGTATTTTAAAAAGCTGTGTGTGAACAGTGCCTCTGACACACACCCCGCCCCCCGAATTTCATGGCCAGCACTTCCTGTGATTAGATGACACGGTACTGTTGGCTTTGGGGTGTTAAATTTGGGCAGTATTCTGGTTCCCCCCAAAAGAAAGCTGCCATTTGGTACTTAAGGAACATGGTTATGGAAAACGCAGGGTCGTCTGTCTCTACCAGAGCAGCACAGAGGGCACAAAGACTGAGGGGCTAGGATTAGCTAAATGCCACCCTACGATTTAAGGGCAGTGCATTAAATGTGGCATCCCTTTGCATCACCTGGTGGGTGCTGTAGGCCAGTATTCCTGCTTCTAGCAGTGCTCTGCCTCACCTAAAAGAAGTCAAATAGCAACAAAAAAAGCTCCTACCTTGTTCTCCAGTGTTCTTAAGTTAGCTCATTTATATTAACTGTCTAAAACCTGGTCTGCAAACCTGCAAAAAAAAGAGAAAAAGCCAGCACCAATAAGCACCACAGTGGAGCAGCAGTGCATTGAGGATGCAGCTCTCAGCACATCTCCCATATCATTTCATGCTGGATGCCAGCCCAGGAATGCTGCACCATGAGCACAGGTGGGACATCCATGGGCTGGAGTAAAGCAAACCTCATCCCTCCTGTGTTTCCAGGTGCCTGCAAGCAGCCCAGTTGCACAAGCTGCTTTGTGTCACCTGCCAACCAACAGCCCTGGTGAACCTGTTGGCTTTCAGGTGGCGTGGAGGAAGCAGATGGTTGGGACCAGGTTTGAATGGCTGCAGCAGTTACCTACGTGGCGGGCACCACAGGGTTTAGGGTATGTCATTTATCTAACTGCTGGGACAGCTTCAGGTCTGTGCTGCCGGGGAGGGAGCAGAAGTGTCCAGAAGGGCAGGGTTTCCCCTAGGGAAGGTGAGTTGTGCTGGGTTTGAGAGATGTGGCAGACTGAGTCCTGTTCCTCTCTGAAACATCCTTGGTTCACTTGTCATTGAAAAAAAATGGAGTAAGATGTTGCTTAACTAGCATCCTTGGTCCCTGCACCTCATGCATGTGCCTGGTCATGACCTCCTGGCCAGGTACTCTCACCCTGCCCCTGCAGGGACTGGGGACAGGCAGGGCTCCACCACATTCCCTGACAGCATCACTCTGGCTAAGGCAGGAGCCACAGTGGTACCCAGCCTTGAATGGGTGCTGAATGGGAGTCCCAGGTGGGGTTTTGGGGCTCAGCTCATGGAGGTCCTGCCTCTGCCCCAGTCAAGCAGCACCCCCTACCCCTTCCTATGCCCCCAGGACCTGGGTGCTGCTCCCAGGCAACCAGGAGCAGGACAGCTGTGTAGTCCCAAGCCCAAGCTTACCAATATATTTGCTGTACAGCACTGGGACCAGTGGTGAATGAACTCTGTGGAAGGTATCAAAGCTTCTGCTTAAATCCTAATGGCCTTGTCAGCCAGGGACCAGTCCTCCTGCTCCCCCTCCCTCCACACTTGGCATTTGCCAGTATTCCCATTAAATCCCCCTTTTCCCTGGGGGAGTCACTGCTCTTGTCATGGCCTTTCTGAAACCACCAGCTCTCTGGCTCCCAGGGCTGGTCCCTGCCCAGAAACCACTCCAATGCAGATCCACAAGCCCCACAAGCTGCACTCAGCTCTGGTGCCCTGGCAGCCCGCTATGGCTCCTCTCCTTCCTAGCTCATGATCAGCCAAACCAGCAGTGCCAGGAGCTGGGACCGGCAGCAGCCACGTCTGGCCCTGTCACTAGCTAGCTCTCTGCAGAGCCATGGCCATGCCCCTCATCCTCCCTCCCCGCCACCCACAACCACTAGGAGCTCGGCAACCCTGCTGAGTGCCTCCACAATACATCAGCAAATCAGCAATGAATAATTGATGCTAATTGGAGCTTGGAGCCGA